ATATATATACAACAAAAAGTATATATATATATATACAAAGTTATATATGTGTGTTGTGTATAATGCACATTTTCCTAGGGAGTTTTATCAAGTTTTATCAGACTCTCAAAGTCTATTACTACAAAATAAGAGCCACTGATTTATTAAAACCACCTGAAATAGCATGGAAGTATCTTCATCACATCCTGGAGGTGGTCTTCCTTTTATTCTTCTCACAATGCTTTTCTTTTCAGGATCAAGCCTTGAGAATGTGTGAGGAGTGGGGTTCAGGGATTGGTGGGTTGGAGGGGTGTGTGGAGTTATGAACCTGCAGGTTGAACTTTAATCAGTTGAAATGAAAATTGTGGATTAAAGAAAAAGGGAAAAAATTACAAAGGCAGCTCTGGGTAGAATGGGAGAGGTTATAGAGATATAATTAATTTTGTTGTAATTATATGTTCATTCTAGGATATAAACTGGCTTTTTTTTTTTTTTAATCATGAAGCATATCAAAGCTACAATATTGGGCTAGGTGCGGTGGTTCTTGCCTGTAATCCCAGCATTTGGGGAGGCCAAGGCAGTAGGATTGCTTGAGCCCAGGAGTTCAAGACCACCCTGGGTAACATATGAGACCCCCATCTCTACAAAAAGTAAAAAAAAATTAGCTGAGTGTGGTGGTGCACACCTATACTCCCAGCTACTTGGGAGGCTGAGGTGGGAGGATCACTTGAGCCTGGAAGGTAGAGGCTCCAGTGAGCTCTGATTATGACACTGCACTGAATGACAGAGAGAGATCCTGTCTCAAAAANAAAAAAAAAAAAAAAAAAGAAAGTAAAGAAAAAGAAGCTACACTGTTGTTGGCTTATTTTCTTTGAGAATAAGGATACATAGTAGCATAATTTTTTATATAAAGATATATAACTTTGTCTACCAAAAACAATGTCAACTACAACCACTTAAGTTTTCAAAATGCATTTTTTAAATTTTAAAATCAAATTAGTTCATACAGACTAGCAATAATTTCTCTCTACAGCCTACAATTGAGACTGAAAACTCTAAATTAGACAAAATCACTAATTGACAACAGTGGCTGGTACCTTATTAGCTGTGGTCGATTGGCGAATTGAATGCAAGTCAGGTTAATGAAGTAAATTTTCTACTTCTCTAATTTCCTCTTATTTTTTGACATACAAATTTTTTATTGAAAGCTATCTCAGTACCATTTTGGAATAGAGTGGGTTATAGGCAAACAAGCATAACTACAGTGGATTCAAATATATTTATTTATTGACCTTCATATTTTAACAAAATGGAGTTGTCTTGACCATATGAATCCATAGTCACATAAACTAGGCACATATTTCTTTTTTTTTCTTGTTATTATTAACAAGCAATATAATCAAAAACAGAAACACAACGACCGTAAAGGTTAATAAGTCAAACTGCTGCTGCATGTACCTGGGGTACCTGCTCATTCATTACAAGGCAGGACGTAGGCACATGACTGTGCATTTAGGTATATATGTAACCAAGAAGAATGAGACAAATGGAAAACACTGGAGAAAAGAAAGTGTCAAGAACTTTTCATCAGGCAATCCCAAAGCACTCTGCTCTTTTCCTCTTCTTTGCCTCTGTATCCTTTGTTGGTTCCAGTTCCAGCTGAACTTGTGACAATCCCAAATCTCTCCTTCCTCTTTTTCAGTTTCTCATCATCTTCAGACTTTCTGGAGATTGAAGAGACATTCAAACCAAATCTTTGAGCTCTTTCCTTTAGCTTATCCAAGTTAACCATAGGCTTGTTATCAGATGACAGACCTTTTGTTGGAACTGAAGAAATCCCAAACCTAGCTACCCGAGCAGCTTTCTTACTCTCCAAGCTCACAGGTACATTGAATCATTTGGCCCCATTCTGCATTCTCTGTCTGTGGTATTTCAGATGTAATTTTCACCACTTTCTTCTCTGCTCCCACATCGACAGTTTTTTCAGGGGGTTCTTCCTCTTTGACAGAGAGCTCTGTGGGCTTTGTTTCTTCTTCCTCTGTTTCACCTCCCAGTACATCTTTTTCATTTGCCTCCCCTTCAGCATGTTCTTCAAGATATGCCTGGAGTCTGTGGATAAGGTCTTGCTTTATTCCCTTGGTCTCCAAAGCAAGACATTCTTGCTTTAGTTCAGCAAGCTTCAGTTTATGGAGCTCCACTGTCCTGTTAACCCTCCAAACTAGGCACATATTTCTTACAAATGTTTAAGTAAAATGAAGGTAGTAGCACATAACTTATAATGCTATCAGTTCATCTTTGCTAACACTAAGATATGAATCAAGACAGTTTAATTCTGTTCTCATATTATATGAAATCACCTATTTCGAGTCAGCTCTAGGTGTGCTTTTAAAATATGTTCATCTTAACTAATACCAACCCACAAACTCATGGTATAGGGAAAACTTAAAGCCCAAATGGGACTGCAAATATTTTCAGCCTTCTAAGATGGTTCATATAACTATGATATGCCCAAAGGCTGTTTCTGTCTGTATAAGGCATCTAATGAGGTTATGTTCAATCAGCAAAGGATATTAAAGTATTGCTGAATGGTTTTTGTCCCAGATGCAGTATGAATAAGATGGCTGGCAACAATAGATCAAAGTCCCCTTGAGGCATCATACGCATTTATTATGAAGCACTCAAATGTGACAATATACAAGTCACCAACAAAATAGCAGTTATTTTATGAAAATTATGAGGGTAAGGGTGAGGTCCTCTTAAGTATGCCAACAAAATGCAATTAAACAGATTATATTGCTGGAAACAGTCTGCTTTGAGCTGAATTTGCATAATGTATTCATTTAACTCATGCCCACATAGCTAAATGTTTACAGGGTGGAAATGTTCAACTGTTTCCCAGTCTCATTGTTGGAAGTTAGTTTGCAGAAGCCCTCAGAAGTGAGCCCTCTGTTTCATGTGATACTGAGAGAATGCCAGTGGGGGCTGAGTTCATTCCGCTTCTAAGTGTCATAGGTCTATTTGGGTCCCTGCAGGACTACAAGAGACCTGGGCTGAGTCATTCTCTACACCGTATTTCTCCATTTACTTCTGTATTAGGCTTCTCTTAGAGGGACAGAGTTAATAGGAGATATATATAAAGGAGAGTTGTTAAGTATTAAGTTACATGATCACAAGGTCCCACAGTAGGCTGTCTGCAAGCTGAAGAGCAAGGAGAGCCAGTCCAAGTCCCAAAACTGAAGAAGTTGAAATCCAGTGTTTGAAGGCAGCAAGCATCCAGTATGGGAGAAAGATGTAGGCTGGGAGGCTAGGCCTGTGTCACCATTCACATTTCTTTGCCTGCATTATATTCACTGGCAGCTGATTAGATTGTGCCCACCAGATTAACAGTGGGTCTGCCTTCCTCAGCCCACTGACTCAAATGCGAATCTCCTTTGGTAACGCCCACAGACACCCAGGGTCAACACCCTGCATCCTTCAATTCAATCAAGTTGACACTCAGTATTAACCATTATGCTTCTTTAGATGATTGATTGATTTTATTTATTTTTTTTTTTAAGATGGAGCTTCACTCTTGTTGCCCAGGCTGGAGTGCAATGGTGTGATCTCGGCTCACCGCAACCTCCGCCTCCTGGGTTCAGGCAATTCTCCTGCCTCAGCCTCCTGAGTAGCTGGGATTACAGGCATGCGCCACCATGCCCAGCTGATTTTTTGTATTTTTAGTAGAGACGGGGTTTCACCATGTTGACCAGGATGGTCTCGATCTCTTGACCTCGTGATCCACCCGCCTCGGCCTCCCAAAGTGCTGGAATTACAGGTGTGAGCCACCGCGCCCAGCCGATTTTATTTTTTAAAATCTGGATTCCACATATTTCCTCCAGTTCTTTGTTTTGCTTTTATTTTGATATGTAGTCTTGCTCTGTTGCCCAGGCTGGAGTGCAATGGCACAATCTCAGCTCACAGCAAGCTCTGCCCTCTGGGTTCAAGCAATTCTCCCATTTCAGCCTCCTGAGTAGCTGGGATTATAGGTGCACACCACCACACCTAGCTAATTTTTGAATTTTTAGTAGAGAAGGGTTTCGCCAGGTTGTCCAGGCTGGTCTCAAACTCCTGACTTCAGGTGATCTGCTCGCCTGGGACTCTCAAAGTGCTGGAATTACAGGCGTGAGCCACCTCGCCCTGCCTCCTCCAGTTCTTAAAATGAGAGAAAACAAAGACAAATGGCCTCAGTCTTCCTTAAAAAGTATGGTTTTTCATTTTCTTAAATCTTCACACTCTGCTTTCTGTCATATTCAGTCTTTATTTGGTAAAGACTTCCTGTTTATAGACGTCACCTCTGGAAAGGCTTGAGAATACAGCTGTGGAGTTGAGAATACAAATGTTTTCTTAATCATTTAGCTTTTGATGCCTCCTTATCAATGACCCCCTTAAAAGCCAGTCCTTCTGTAAACATTCTAAGATGCTCTAAACAATGAAGACCTATCTGGGCTCAGGATTGGATGCATATGCCATATCTTCTTGACTTATTTTCCTGCCTTGTTTTCAATAATGATTTACTCATTTATTTTAATTGAAAAAACATCTGAATTTTACCTTGCTGTGGAGGCCACATTTTTCACTGTATATGTAATTAAGAGCTAGTGTATGCGCTTAATTCCTTGTCTGTATCACTACTCTTGTCTAGTTGTGATTCATATAATCACATCTAACATTTTATATCCTTATCAATAAATTTACCATTGCGAAAGTAGTAAGATCTATTCCTTTTAGTAACTTGTACTAGAATTGTAGTATTTACTGTTAAACTCAATAGTCCTAACACTAAATGAGATGAAAAAAGATACAGTGATTCTTTGATGACTGTTTTTCTGTTATAGAGATCATTCTGAGTAGTTCTCATTTTTTACATTTTTAAAATAAATTATTAATAATAGATGGTAAATTGAATACCTGTAAATTAAGTAAACTTGAAACAATTTTTAACAACCTTCGTTTTATAATTATATATCATGCTTTATTTGCAGGACCGTGTAATTGCGTTAGAAACGGTAAGTTGGGGCATTTTCTTTCTCCTTGTGTCAGAATTACTGCTGTCTCCTGATGTGGATTTCAGAGCACACCAAAGGAAGCAGTTTCAGAAATCATTTTTAAAACTACATCTAAGATGTCAAAGGGAAAAAGGAGTTAAACTGTATCTAAAAGGTATGTGGATATAGACTTTAAAATGAAAAAATAAATTAAAATGTGAGCATATTTAAGTGGTCACATCTCTCAGGACTTCTGACGTCAAGATGTATTAATATATGAAAAACATAATTAGTTTAAATATAGTCAATACTTTGTGTGTTTTTTATTGTAGTTTACAATCACTGAAAGGATTGATAAGAAACTGTGGTTAGGTTGCTATTTATCCTTTCAAGTCTAAGTTTTTAACATTCGTTTAACTTATTTTCACCAGTATCACAAAAAGAATAGTAAAAGCATGCCAACTTTTTCTGAATAATCTTACTTGTAGGAATGTACTATTAAGAAATAATTTTTCAAGTTCATAGATGTAAAGACTACATATATACAATATTTATTGAAAAATTATTTGAAATTTATTCAAAAATTATTTTTGGCCTGACGTAGTGGCGCAGGCCTGTAATCCCAGCACTTTGGGAGGCCCAGGTAGGCAGATCACCTGAGGTCAGGAGTTTTAGACAAGTATGGTCAACATGGTGAAACCCCATCTCTACTAAAAATACAAAAAAATTAGCTGTACTTGGTAGTGCATGTCTATAGTCCCAGCTACTTGGGAGGCTGAGGGAGGAGAATTGTTTGAACCCCAGAGGCAGAGGTTGCGGTGAGCTGAGATTGCACCACTGCACTCCAGCCTGGTGACAGAGTAAAACTCTGTCTCAAAAAAAAAAAATAAAGAAAAATTATTTTTAAATTATAAAAAGGAAAACCAGGGCCAGGCATGATGGCTCATGCCTGTAATCTGAGCACTTTGGGAGGCTGAGGCAGGTGAATCACTTGAGGTCAGGAGTTCGAGACTAGACTGGCCAATGTGGTGAAACCCTGTCTCTACTAAAAATACAAAAATTAGCTAGGAATGGTGGCGTGTGCCTCTAATCCCAGCTACTCAGGAGGCTGAGGCAGATTCGCTTGAACCTAGGAGGCAGAGGTTGCAGTGAGCAGAGATTGTGCCACTGTACTCCAGCCTGGGGGACAGCGCAAGACTCTGGCTCAAAAAGAAAAAAAGGGAAATCAATTTATAGTTTGTCAATAAAGTTATGGTTCCATAGAGTAAGGAATTTCCATCCAACATGCCACAGTGGTTATGCAAAAGCTTATAATATTAAATGGAAAAAAATTCAAGATATAAAATTGTGTGTACCTTAATGATGACATATAGGCATGTAAAAAAGGAACAAAATAGAGTAACTGCAACACTGATAAGTTAGATAAGAATTATGGATTTTAATTTTATTCCTTTCTGTTTTTCAATTATTTGATGAAATACTATGCAGCCATAAAAAGTCAGGTTTTCAAAAAAGTAAATATTGTCATGCTAATATGTGAAAAAGTGATGTAAGATATATGAAGTGTGACAAAAATATTAAATGTACATATTTTACAATTTAGGAGACTAAGAAAATATATAAAATATTACAAATATCTTAGTAGTGGTGATTTTTTTTCTTCTTATATTTTTAATAAGCAGGAAAAATTCTTTAGATAATAGGGTTAATAAAAAATGAAGTGTTTGTGAGCATGAAGAGAGGAAAGATGCTTACGACATTTTAGTAATATGCAAGCAAGTGATAACTGACAATGCCCAGACCTATGGATGAATAGCTTCTTCCTGAGATTTAACTGGGCCATTTAGAAAGTACACTAATCTCCGTTTCAGTATGATGACATTGTTGGTGAATAAAATGTTTAGTGTTCTTCCACATATATTTTACTTAGCCTTAGAAAGTGTCTTGCCAACAGAATTTGGCTTGTGAATTAAATGCTCTTTTTAAAAACTTGAACAAAAACAGAATTTTGAGTTTGAGGACCTGGATTTGACTTACAAAATGCCACTTATACAACCTTTAGCAAATGACTTCTTTCTTGATTTCTTCATCTGTGAAAAAGTTTATTTAAATTATTTTATCAGGTTATTTTAAGAATTAAGAGAGAAAATACCTGTGAAAATATTTAGGACCAAGTATATGTTATTGTTACCATTATGTGATTGATTGTTACTTTTTAATCATTTGAATTCTACCTATATACTATGCAAAACTGAAAATTTTATCAGCAACAGTGACTATCTGTATTTGTTAATTTTTTTATTTATCTAATCTCTTCACTAACAAAGAGATTAAATAAATAAAGATTCTATTCTATAGGAATAGAATCTTAAATGTCCTATCCTAAAGGTTCCTGTAAGAATAAAGGTAAAAATAAAAAGTCATCATGGGGAAAATTAAATGGATTAAATGGACTAGGTATTAAACAGCAGTAGTTTTTTGATAGTTTCAATTTGAAATGATTATAAATAAAACCATAAAAATTAAAATGCTCAGTAATAGTGTTAATGATCAAATATTATGAAGTCCTTTGATTTCATATGACATTTTAAGGAACGGAATTTAATGTACTTGGCAGACTATTCAACTGATAAAATACTTTACAGTTTATAAAATCAAATATGCTGAAAGCCATCTCAAGAACATTTATTATTCTCTCTCAAGTCAGCACTTAAAACTTAGAAAAATGTTGGTGATCCATATTTGACTGAGTTGTTATTAAGAGTACAGACGGTACTGTATGTAGGATATATATCATGGGGATATCAATCTCCAAATGTCTGAAATTTCACCATTCCATTAGGAGTATTTATAATAGATTGATTTTAGCGGTTCACTAGTTATAATACCCAAAAAGAAGATTGCCTTTTCATCATAATAAGAAAGTCGGCTTAGCTTGCCACCAGTTATCTATATGCTTAGGTACAATCACATACCTACTTTTTCCTGTCTTCCTCAACTTTTCCCTCGCTTTCTTTACTAGCAGGTAAGCTCCTTGGAGTAGAAACTGCATTTTATTCGCAAATGCATTGCCAGGGTCTGTCAAAAATGTTTGATACATAGTAGACAATCAATAAACATTTGTAGAATGAAGAAATGAGTGTCAAACTGAATATATCTCAAACTCACATAAGACTGTGCTTAGGAATAAACAGCATTAGTCCAGTAGTTGCAAGAAATTCCCCAGAAGCACAGCAATGTATTCTTTATTTACTAGACTTCCTGGTTAGTACTATATTCTATTTGGCATTTCACAGAAGCTCTAACCGTCTTCAGTAAATATTAATGTAAATTTTTTCTGGGATGGAACCACCTCCAGCCAGAATAGAATGGGTTGATTCCCTAAATATAGCTAAGTGATTACATGGAAAAAAAAAAAACTTGATTGAGAGCCCCATCTCATGGGCCCTGGATGGGACTCAGCACTGGGCTCAACATGAGGCATTGTGTTGATACCAAGGAAGAGAACAGGAAAACAAATTGTGATCAGTGCCTTCAAGGAATTTGTACTCTAACTGAGGAAGGAAGATACATTCATTTAAATGAATTAATGATGAAAGGTAAAAAGATTTAAAAAATACAGTACATGAATGAAAAAAATGATGCATTTTGCAGAAGCTATTTTGAAGAAAAGATAATTGTAAAGAAAATTGAGGCATCATTGTGATGTGGGTTCACTGTGAAAATCATGGATTGTGCAGTTTGAGGTCATGATAAGGAGCTTAAATTTATTTCAGAAATAGGAAGAATCAGTAGAGTCAGGTCGAAAGAGCCAGAGAAGTCTTTTCATGTTGCATATGTAATGAAAGTCTAAAGGCAGTAATGAATAAAAGAGTTTGTTAAAAGGATTTTTTAAGGTAAAGTCATGACTCCCATACACATATAAAATGAACTCATGACAAATGTGTTTATTTAACTCATTAATTAATGAGGGAATGAACAAGAAGTTACAAATGACTCAAAGCATTTAAAGAATCACTCATATACAGGCACTACAGAGTGCTGAAATGTATTTTAAATAAAGGCAAAATTGGCTTCTTCTACAATGGGGAAGGAAAATCAATGGAACCCTACCAGACAAAATTTATTGTCTGTGAACAAAAATCATTTACATTGCAATCAGTTATCTGCAACTCATAAAGTTATCAATAACTCAAAGACAACGAGAAGTCAGAGATCCCACAGAATCAGAAAACCCAGAAGGATGTGCTAGGCAAAAACTAGTTACTGAAGATACCTAGTCAGTTTTTGTTCCATCCCAAAGCCTTTTCACATTTTTTTCCCCTGTAGGTTCATGGGAGATAATGTATAGAGCCATAGACAACAGTTTGAGAGAGTAATAGGAGACATTCTGGAGTTCTGAAATACAAACCAAGCAGTTTAGATTTGATTTTTTCATATCAGGGTTTTGTATTTTTTTACATCAGGGATCTTTTATCTCAGGATCTAAATAGGTCCTTCCCAAATGCCAGTTCGTACTGGTCAGTAGCAGCTACTGAAACATTGTGTTGGGAAGGATTTTTTTTCTGGTTGCTCTTTCAGAAAGAGTGCTGTGATCACCTTACGTTTTCTGCCATATACATTACAAGGTTAGGAGGTAGAAAGTAGGAGCACAGGTATTAAGCCAGCAGGGTGCCATTGGCGGCTTTCAATTAGGGATCATGGTGTGGTGTGTGTGGTCTATAAATGTAGTGACAGTGTGCAGGATGATCTGGAGTAGGGATAGACTGCAAGTAGGAGGATGGAAAGTGCACACGGGAGGTAGTCCAACCTTAGAAATGTGTTTGGAAAAGCACAAGTAGGGGCAGTTTGGTGCAAGAAGGAAGACTCAAAGCGCATGCCCTTGTTTAGAGAAGGGAACTAGCAAACTTGGTAAGTGGGAGGTCTTGGGAGAAAAGCAAATATAGATACTACAGTCAGGGTCCTTTCGGGAAGTGAAAGGGATTATAAGGCAATTCACCTTGGTGATGTAAATTCCGTTT